TATATATATATATATATTATTAACAAAAGTATATGTTACCTATTTTTCATAATTGGATCTCTTTCTCATAATTACATTAATTAATTACTACTTTTTATTCTGGAAGAATTAAAAAATTTGCTACGTTTAAGTTTCATTCGCGTGTTTCTTGTTGTGACCTTTTAGTACTTCTCGCAGTCATCATATCTTGAATTTCCTATTAACATCAACAATGGTTAACATGCAATATTTACATTGAACTCAAAATAAAGCTTTCTATATCTCGTAACGAAGTAATATGCAATATGTAATTGAATTACCTGCAGCGTTTTTCCTTTTGTTTCTGGCAGTATAGTAAGTGCATATATTAAGCTCATCATGAGGATCACTGCATACATCCAAAAAACATACTTTTCGCTAATGAGATCTACCAATGGCTGATATGTTCTTGAGGCGATGAATGCGAATGCTGCTGACGTAATACTTCCAAAGAATCCAGCCAAGCTTTTCAGATCAGAAGGAAATATCTCACTTAGAGTTGTCACAGGTACCGGTATGAGTCCGAAGTACATCATCATGAACAACAGTAACGATAGAATAATCAACCATTCAAGATTACCGGGATCGTAGCCGTAGTCTAACAAAAAGAAATGTAAACCTAACAACACTGTGCCAATCATTACGCCCAAAGATGAGATTGCTAATAGGATTCTGCGACCGTAATGATCGATGGCAAATATGCTCGACCAGCCAATAATTATACCTGTAATAATAACAATAATTGGATTAAATTAATCTAATTCTTAAACGATTTTAACAGAAATAAATGGAGTTTTACTTAAAATTGGTATAGGGTAACTTAAATATACGCACCTAATGAAAACTTAATTTCTTAATTTATTATTATCAGAGTTGGGAAGCGTTACTTTTTCCGTTACTTTTTATAATATGATGTTGTAATTTTTTCTAATTAAATGCTAAGGTTGGAAAAGTTGACTCTTCCAATCTTAGCACAATCTTAGCGTTTAGTTATAAAAAGTTACAACGTCGTTATCAAATTGTTTATAAAAAGTAATGGAAAAAGTAATGCTTCCCAACTTTGAGTATTATTTACTATGTTTAAGGTAAATAAACTATACCAGTAAAAACTTTTTACTGTCTACACCGTATAGCGTCAAATTGACACTATATAGTGTCAAATTTAAACATTGTTTTAAAAGTATAGAATAATGATATATTGAGTGGGAACAGTGGCGACTTAAATTAGGTTAATACAATACTCTATAGATTTAAATATATAACAGAATTGGTTGTGTTATCTCTATTCCTTTTATTTTTTCTGACTTCTGCGGCGTAAAGGTCATGATATATAGAAAAACTTAATGGACTGACTGTGATTGGTAATTTTTAGCTTCTGACTTCTAATTTATGACTAATGGTTTATTGTAGAAATAAGACTTAAGCAATAAGGAAATCAACGTGTTGGATTTGCTATTGCTTACGTTATGGTCTTCCGGTTTTTACTGTGATTGATCAATTCGTTTACTGCTTAAGTCTTATATCTTGAGTTTTTTATTTGCTATCGCCTTAAATCTTCGCACGGCATAAATGCCGGAGATATCTTATATAATAATTAAGATAATTAACAGTTGAAACACAAGACAGTTTTGTCAATAAAAGATAACACGGAATGAAGAGATAATTATATTATCATTGCTATTGGAAGTCAAACATACTGACTGCACCGATGACGATCACTACAGTTGAAGGCATGATTGATGTCACCTTTCCCTTCTTTAGGATAATTTCCATGTAAAATACAATAGTATTTAATCCACTCATTTGCATAAACATGAAAAGTATTATTATCATTATGAAAGAGCGTCGATTCTTCGGCTCTTTCATCTGATACAATCGTTCTCTTATGTTCATTGTACGTGTTGATTTTACGAAAAGTTCCACGGCTTCTATTTCGTTTTTTATATCAGGTTTTCGATAATACCATCGAATAGCTTGTTCCGCTCTAAAATTATGAAAATAACACATAAAAGTATTTTGTTAATTTATCTAAAATTATCAAAAAAATTATATCGAGAGAATACATTCCTCAATTATCATAATCGTTTTATGATTATCGATTTTATTTTTTTCATAATAAATATAAATTATGCCTGAGAATGTGTTTCATAAAGAAATGTGTAC